TGGATTGAAACGAAAAGAAAGGAATCATAGAATCCTAGAGTTGGAAGAGACCCCAAGGGCCATCCAATGATATCAGCAGAGGTTATCCCTGAGTTTCAGGTTTGGCCCAGAAACCTCAAGGCTTGGAACGATCCTGAATCGGTAACCCTACTGCTACCTTCTGCAGTCAAAAAGCTCTTACAGGTCAGGGCGATCAACTCCCTTCTGCCATGCAGGAATTCAAAAGCAAAGCACCCCTGAGAGATGGCCATCCAGCCTCTGTTTAAAGACCTCCAAAAAGGATGGTGATGATGATGATGATGATGATGGCGGCCATCTGTTGGGGATGCTTTGATTTTGAGTTCCTGCATGGCAGGGGGTTGGACTGGATGGCCCTATTTTTATGTTTATTTATTTTTGGTGCTTCAGCCCCCCAATTGTCTGAGGGACAGCAACTTGGCCCCCGACTCAGAAAGGTTGCCTACCCCTGTTCCAGACGAATAAGAGCTGTATACTAGTGGAAGGGACTGCCTCAGAAGATGGAGGACTCTTCCTTCTTTGGAGATTTCTGAACAGAGGTTGGAAGGACACCTCTCAGGGATGCTTTGGCTGGAGGTTGGACTAGATAGAATCCTAGAATCCTAGAGTTGGAAGAGACCCCAAGGGCCATCCAGTCCAACCCCATTCTGCCATGCAGGAACTCCCAATCCAAGCATCCCCGAGAGATGGCCATCCAGCCTCTGCTTAAAGACCTCCAAGGAAGGAGACTCCACTACTCTCCGAGGGAGATGGTCCTTGGGGTTCTGCGCTTCCATGATTCTGTGATGGGATTCCTCAAATCTCCTCTGGGTATCTCTCTGCAGACTTTCCGGTGGCCCATCGCAAGCAGCATCGATGTCAACGAGATGCTGGAGATCCAGGTCTTCAACTACAGCAAGGTCTTCTCCAACAGGTGAGACACACCTTACACTCCGCCTGCCATGTTGTGACCTTAGAACAGTGTCCAATGTGGTATCCTTTCTTCCATGTATCTTCAGCAATGTATGCAGGTCTATGGATGGAGAGACACGATTTGGGGTTTTTCTGTTGAAGGTCCTTGGGATGAGCAGATGGTCCTTTAATCTGGGGGCACATGATTTTAGACCCAAAGCTTTTCCCATAAATGTTGGACCAAAGAAAGGCATTTCCAGTCCAGCAGCGTATAGGGTTGCCAGACTGAAAACTGGAGAGGGCTCTGGTCCTTTGAATGGTAGAAGCGACCATTTCAGCACATCTTGCTTGTCATACAACCAAGTAACACTGAAATTCCCTCTTCTGAACGACCATTAAACATACAGGACCTCTCTCCGGCTTTCCTTCTGGCAACCCTAATTCCCACAAGAGCTCCGCAGAGCATAGGAAAGTTTCTCGTTTTGACTGAACAGGGGATTCTGGGAGTTGTAGTCCATAGAAAGGAAACATTTCAAATTTCTATTTAACCTCCCCCATCATGATGTAGTGTAGTGGTTTGAGCATAGTACTATGACTGGAGATCAGTTCCCTGCTCGAGCCAAAAACTCACTGGGTGAACTTGGGCGAGTCACACTCTCTCAGCCTCAGAGGATGGCAATGGCAAACCCCCTCTGAAGAAATCTGGCCCAGAAAACCCTATGATAGGGTTGCCTTAGGGTCGTCATAAGTCAAAAATGACTTGGAGGCACACAACAACAACAACAACAACAACAACAACAACAGTCTCCTAACTTTACACCTTGGAAATAAGTTCAATTAAATATTTATAACAGGAATATTTAAGTGCATGCACACACACAGGAACAAAAATAGATGTGGGATTCAGTTCTGTGGGTTAGTCTCAGCTAAAACAGATCCATTGAATCAACAGCTGAACATGCCTGCGATAAAATGTTGGGAATTAGGTGTGATGGGTTATACAGTGGAAATGGGATCCCTAAATCATGGCGATCTGGGATCCAGGTGCTGAGATAATGCTGGAAGGGATGCTAACATGGACCAAGCCTGATCAGGGTTGTTTCTGCATCTGGGCTTCACAGCAAAGAACAGGACAGTTTGGGAAAGAGAGGAGAGGTATGTTTTATTATTAAGAGCAAATATAAATCAAGCTTGCCTGAAATTTAGAAATTGCACAAAGTTTAATTAGGCAATTGTAACATTTGCTGGTCAGTTCTGAGATTGAATGCCACTGGGCTGGATCTCTAGTTGCTTAAATAAAGGTTTTTAGAGTTTTAACAGCATGGTTAGTTTAACTAGCCGGTGTTATATGGTCATTGGAGTCTCGGACGATGACTCTGGAGACCAGGGTTCGAATCCCAGCTCGGTCATATAAACCCACTGGGTGACCTTGGGCAAGTCACACACTCTCAGCCTCAGATGGTGAACCTCTGCTGAACCAATCTTGCCATGGAAACCCCATGATAGAGGGGAGGGGGAATAGAGATTGACCCTAGGGTGGCCATAAGTCAGAAACAACTTCAAGGCACACAACAACAACAACAACAAAAACAACAACAAAAACAACAACAGTTTTAACTACTGAAGCCTGGTTTTCTGCTTGGTATCATGCTGGACTTGACAAAACGGTGAGTCAATACATAGGTAAATCCAATTGATTCAATGGTTTTACCCTAGATGTCAATAGGATTCAATGGGTTTATCCTAGATCCTAACCATAGGATTTAAGCCACAGAGAATAAGTGCTGGCCTCACATATGACTTGCCTTTAGGGTTTCATCTCTGGCTGTCCTATAATGCAAATCTGGAATGAATTCCCAATTCCATCCTCCAGGTTTGCTCCTTCTGGCTTTATAATCTCCTCCACTCCCCCAGAGATCCTGTTTCATTAAACAAACATCAAAACCAAACTGCATCTATGATTTCTTTTCATTAAAATTTTGAGGCAGATGGTTTCTCTTGGGGTGTGAGAGAAAGAAAGAAAGAAAGAGAAAGAGAGACAGATAGAGAGAGAGAGGGAAATGCTAAATTTTCAGCATTTGCATTAGAAACAAATTGCACTCTTTGCATCTCACTTTTAAACAAGGACCCAGGAGGAATTCAGATGGAAATTGACAGTTCGCTTCATCTGCCAGAACACTTTGTCTTGAATGGATATATTTAAAATACTGGTCTACTGTCATGGCAGGTCTGAGAAAGGTGGAATGATGATGATGATGATGATGATGATGATGATGATAGCAACAGCAATAATAGTATTACAGTCGACCCTCCACATTTGCAGCTTTGACTTTTGCAGATTTGATTTTTCACAGATTTGATGAATATATTCTCTAGGGATCTCTAGGTCCTCCAATGTGACTCTGCTGGACATTGACCATAGAGTTACATTGGAGGACTTAGAAATTGCTAGAGAAAACAGCTTTCTAGGCATTTGCGCATCCTCCAACATGATTCTATGGTCAATCACTGGCAGATGTGGACCATAGAGTTGCACCAGAGGACCTAGAAAGGTCTGCGTTGCAGAGGGGCAGGATAGAAATATTATTATTATTATTGCTATTATTATTATTATTTTCTCAGGTTTTTTTTATAAAATTAATTGTTTTTTGTAGTTTTTCCACTTTCAGGGAGGTGCTGCACTCCTAACCCCAACAAATGTGGAAGGTCTTCTGTAGTAATGATGATGATAGTGATAATAATATGTTATTATAATGAGTCTCCTTTATCCTAAAGGCTTGGGACCAGAAGTGTTTTGGATTTTGGATTTTTTTGGGGGGGGCGATTTTGGAACATTAGCATATGCATAATGAGATATCTTGGAGATGGGTCCCAAGTCTAAGCATGACATTCATTTATATTTTTTATACACCTTATACACATGTTGTTATTGTTGTTGTTGTTGTTGCGTACCTTCAAGTTGTTTCTGACTTATGGTGACCCTAAGGTGAACCTATCATGGGTTTTTCTTGGCAAGATTTGTTCAGAGGGAGTTTGCCACGGCCTTCCCCTGAGGCTGAGAGAGTGTGATAATTTTAGATTTTGGAGTATTTTGGTTTTCAGAATTCTGGTTAAGGGAAACTCAACCTGTATAACTGTGGTTCCCAGATCGATTTGATTGGTGCTGTGGGAGCAATTTCATTCAAAATGATAAAACATCTGAGTCAAAAGTGTGATGCGACAGCTAAAAAGGCCAATGCGATTCTAGGCTGCATCAATACAAGCATAGTGTCTAGATCAGGG